TAAAAGCGTTTAGCCCCCCCCCCCCCCCGCCAGTGGAAAAGGAAATCGAGTAATTACTTCCAAGGTATTGAAGCATAAGGATTGTGAAATGATCAGCTATGGCAAGGATAAGCATAATACTGTAGAGATGTAGAGTTGGAGCAATTTCGGCGGGGTGGGTGGGTTTAAAAGGGCAGCAATGTTTAATGCATCTCTGAATCCTATTAAAGGGACAGAGGATGAATTTAACTTAGACAAGATGACTTTCTCTACACAGTTCTGCACAGATCTTTTCTGTGTTCAATATCTTCTTTTTTTTATGTTTTAGGTGGGAAGACAACTGGTATATCGGTCAAAGCCTCTAGACCTTAGAGATTCAGGCCGTCAAAATATCATCACAAAAACTCAAGAAGACACATGGTTTTTTACTTAAGTTTGGAGATTGTGGTTAGATACAGTTTCGCAGGGGTATCTTTTTACTTGGTTTACCTAAACTATAACCGATTCATAACCTTTACTATATTCTATTAACGGAGAATTTACCAAATTAAATTAGGCAGGCAAGGTTCTTTGAGTAGATGTGGTATCTTTTATTAAACCAACTGAGTAGTTGGAAAAAAATTCTTAGCAAGCTTTTGGGCTCAGTCACCCTTTTTCAGGCATAGGGAGTCTCTGCTGTTCTGAGACTCCAAGGAAAGAGAGAAGCTAGAAGTGTGGCAGGATGTCAGTGAGAATGTAAATAGGTAGAAATTACAAAGACAAAAGGTAAAGCAGAGAAGGAAGAAGGCAGGGGAAAGAAAAGGAAGACATCAGAGTGATAGAATGGGGTGGCAGGGGTCTGTGGGTTTTGCCCCGTCGACTAAGTGAGCTGCCTGGATCACTCAGTGGGCATATTTGGACCTGCTTCCCATGTCTGCGCTTGTTCTCGCCTGCCACGACTTGATGGAGTAAAAAGAAAAAGGTAGAGAGCACAGGTGAAAAGCTTCAGGTTTGATAAAGGGTACAACATGTAGTAGTGAGTCCTGCTGCCATCTCTGACTGCTGGCGTGGGTTCAAGCTCTGCTGGTACAATGCCTCGATAGGCTTGGTCAGAAGTCTCTGTATGCTTAGGGAACATGAATGGCACTTTACCATGCTCCCACCAATACGATAAAACGGCAGTTTGCCGTATGTCACGGAGTGGGGTCCTAGAGGTGGCTGTGATCTCCCCTAGCGCCCCCTACCATGCCAAGTTTGCCTTAAAGCACCCTCATTCTTACCTGCGACGTCTTGAGCTTAGGCATATAAAAGGGAGGCTGCCTCTCGTCCTCTTGGTTATGGTTCTCCTGCTATCCCAAGTCTTGCTCTTATAATGGGGTTCTGGGCACCCCAGCCTTATGGGCTATGCATGGCTCCAACCGCCCCTCTACCACGCCCCAAGCCTCGCTGATGTACCGGATGTTGTCAGGTCCTAGCCGCAGCCCTTGTCTCTCTCTGTGCCCTGTGGTGCTCGGGCTCTCTGCAGCCCTTGTCTCTGTCTGCGCCCTCTCTGGCACTCCGCAGCCCTTGTCTGTCTCACCGCGCCCTCTGGTGCTCTTGAGTCGCTGCCCCCTTTTTGCCCTGGGGCTGGGGTCAGTGCACCCCAAAAGGCTGTGCCCTCTTTGGTGCCGGGGTCCCCACACTACTGTGGGTCCCCCCTAAGAGGCCTCCTCCAACCCCTGATAGCCTCACCCAAACCACCAGTAGTAAACAGAAGACTCAAGCCCCTAGGCTATAACATAAACCTCAGCCATCTGGCTATAACAACATTCAAGCCACTCCCAGGCTTCTCCATCTCTCATCAGTATCGCATTGTTCATTCATTCTGGCTTCTTCCTTTTCCTCACTCAGGCAGAGCTCCTACCCCCTTGGCTGCTGGCAGGGAACTGCCTGCCTGGCCTCAGCCTGGGAGTTATATAGGAGCCAGGCCCTGCCCCTTCCAGTCAGCTGACTCCCACCAGTTACCCTGGCAACCCACAGATGGGCTCCTTGCTTACTGCTCGGGCTCTTTCCCTAGCAGTTTCCATTCTTCCAAGGAGCAGGGCACCTATGTGCTCTCCGACGCACCTCCCCCCTTAAGATCCAGACTCACCAAGGCTGATCATCTTTCTCGCCAGGTGTTGCATCCATCTGGGGCTTCTCTCTCTCTCTCTCTCGGCCTTTCTTCAGGCACCCGGCAAACCAGATACAGGAGGCAGAGGTTTTCAGGTGCCTCCTACTCGCCTTTTACCCAAGGGTGCCTGGAACCCCATATAAGAGCAAGACTTGGGATAGCAGGAGAACCATAACCAAGAGGACGAGAGGCAGCCTCCCTTTTATATGCATAAGCTCAAGACGTGGCAGGTAAAATGAGGATATTGGGATGTTGCCCCTTTTGGGTGTGGTCCTGGTAGCTTGGACAACTGTACACTTTCCTGCACAGCTGCCAAATTTCCCTTATCTACTTCTCTCTGCTGTACCTATTTTGGCATTACTAAGATCCCTGCATCATATCTGCTGGCAAGCTTTTCTAATTTTTCTCCCAAGCAGTTCATCCCCTCTACATACTAGTTTACCCAGTGACTCCATTTTTGTTCCAGGTACTGGATAACTGCAGGGACACTCCCCCCATTGTAGAAGACTCTATTTCAGGAGGTCTCTCCATCATTGTATTCTTTTCCTGCTGCTCTACTCCCCTCTCATTCCTGGAGCTTCCTAACCCGGTACTCTTGGGTGGTTCTTAGTCTTCCTGGACCTTTAGGCATATGAGCCGTGCATTCTCTATCAATCTCTCGGTCTCTATCAAAAACCCTTCAAGCTCTTGAAAATGCTCCTTGCATTCTGCCTTAGCTCTGGATGCATACTCTTCCCATTGCAGGGCTGTTGCAGTCAGGCTCTCTTCCTGGGGTTGTATGGCCTGTAACCATTGCTGCTCGATCTCTGCATGGGTCCCGCCACTGCTTCTGCCGTTCCCACGTCGTTGGCTGCCGGTAAGGAACCTGTTGTTTTCTTTCTTCCCTTCTCTCTCTCTCCCCCACCTTATTTTGGATCCCGGGTCACCCCTTTTCCCCTTCAGGGCCATATTGTGCCGTCCCCCTGCGACATAACCCCCCCCTAAGCTGCCTTGGGGCATTCCATTGGGGCTTGTCGTCTCCCTACCTGGTCGGGCCTTTGTGTCACCTTGCTTGTGTTCCCCCTTGTCGTCAGGAGGCCTCGCTTCACATCTAGATAGAAAATCTGCAGTTACATTATTAATCCCAGGGCGATGTATTATGCGGAATTTGAAAGGCTGGAGGGCCAAGGCCCATCTCATAATTTGCGCATTGTCAATCTTTGCTGTCCCTAGCCATCGCAGCGGCACATGGTCTGTTATTAACGTAAACTCTTGGCCCATTAGGTAATACTGAAAATGGTTTACGGCCCACCGGATGGCTAGGCATTCCCGCTCGATCGCGGCGTACCTTGTTTCTGCGGGGGATAGCTTGCGGCTGGCATACGCCATGGACCTTTCCATCCCTGGATTCTCTTGGGCGAGAACTGCGCCAGTAGCCGTCTCTGAAGCGTCGGTCTGTAATATAAAGGGTTTTGTGAAGTCTGGGGCATGGACCACTACCTCTTCACATAAGGCTTTAATTGTTGAAAACTTTGTAGCATTTCAGTGGACCACTTCACCCGCTTTTTCCCTGGTCCCTTCAGGGCGTCAGACAACGGTGCTGCCAGTTCTGAGAAATGGGACACGAAGCGCCGGTAATAGTTGACTAGGCCTAAGGACTGAAGCTGTTTTGGGGTTTGCGGGGCTTGGAACTTTCGTATTGCCTCGACTTTGTCCGCTAACGGTTTAATCATTCCCTGACCTACTACGAACCTGAGGTATTTCGTTTGGCATTGTACCAAGGCGGCGCATTTCCGCAGATTTACCGTTAGTCCTGCCTTTTGTAACTCTTCCAGTACCGCCTTTAGGGCTTGTACATGCTGGGGCCAGGTAAAGATCACTATGCCATCGATGCATGCCGCCGCGTAGCTAACATGAGGTGCCAGGATTTTCTCAATCAGGCGTTGGAAGGTCGCTGCTGCCCCAGGTAATCCGAACGGCATACGTACAAACTCAAAAAGCCCCCATGGTGTACCAAAAGCGGTTTTGGGTCTATCCCATGGGACCACCGGAATTTGCCAAAACCCTTTTGCTAAATCTAGGGTAGATATAAAGGTGGCTGATCTGATTCTTTATACCAACTCAGTGATATGGGGCATGGGGAAAGCATCAAAAATGGCTATCTCATTTAGGCGTCGGTAATCAATGCACAACCTCAAGGTCCCGTCTGGTTTCGGCATGGGGACCAATGAACTCCTCCAGGGACTCCTCGACGGTCTGATTACTCCCAGCTTCAACATCTTCTCAATTTCTTGTTGTATTTCGCCTGTGAGGTGGTGAGGTATGGGTCTCCACTGATCCCGAACAGTGGCACCGGGAGGTGTATGGATTGCATGACTGACCCCTTTCGCCCACCCTGGTTCTTCTCGGAACCTGTCCCTGTATTCTTTCACAAGAACTTGGATCATTCTTTGTTGTTCTTTGGATAACTCCTTCCCAATGGGAATATCCCACTCCACTGTTCCTGCCCTGGCCTCCGTCTGGCTCCCTTGGGGCCCCAGGTCTTCGGGTTCTTCTTCCACGAAGGCTGCCCAACCCTCTGATTTGCTTCCACTCCCGGAGCAGGTTGACATGGAAGATCTGTCGTGTCCTGTGATGCCCGGGTCAGGATACCTCCTAGTCTACTGGCCCTACCCTCCTAATTATTTCAAATGGACCCTGCCATTGGGTTAAGACCTTACTCGTAGAGGTAGGAAGAAGGATGAGGACCCGTTGCCCGGTTGGAATTCCCGTTCTTTAGCCCGCGCATCATATTTCTCCTTTTGTCGTTGCTGGGCCTGTTGCAGATTCTCCATGGCGATGTCCTGCGCCACTTGTACACGATGATGGAAATTCTGGTAATAAGTGGGAGTCTCCACCCCTGGGGGTGAAGGACATTCCCAGTCTTCTCTTAGCATTTGTAGAAGCCCTCTAGGCCTGTGCCCCAGAACTAACTCGAATGTTGAATACTTGAGGGATTCCAAGGGGGAGTCCCTAAGAACGAACAGCACAAGGGGAAGAAGCAAATCCCATCTCTGGGGCTCTTCCTGGATACATCTGCAGAGCATTCTCTTAGTGGTCCCATTAAGCCTCTCTACGAGACCATTTGTTTGCGGATGATACACGGACGTGCGTAGTTGTTTTATCCGCATAGTCTGACACGCTGCTCTTAAGATCCCGGACATAAAATCGTGCCCTTGATCAGTTAGGATCTTTTGCGGGATCCCCACTTGGGCGATCCATTTGACCAGTTCTTCTGCTATTCGTGGTGCTGTAACTGATCTCAAGGGGACCGCCTCTGGATATCTGGTTGCGTAATCCACTATCACCAGGATGTACTGATTGCCCGCGCTACTTCGGGGTAAGGGGCCTACTATATCCATCGCGACTCGTGAGAATGGGGTCTCTATGATTGGTAGAGGTTGAAGGGGGGCGGGACGTGGACAATCCTCTCAGGCCTTTTGGCACTCGGGGCACGCGGCACACTGTTGGGCCACAT